CCCTGTGCCCCCGCGCTCCGCCCCATGGGCAGACAGACACACCGACACCTCTTCCTGTGCCAGGTTTATTTAAAAACACTTAACTGCCGTCAACTACCGGTGAAGGCAGAGGAGGCCAGACCACGTTTAAGACAATACCTTAAATAGAATACAAATATAAACCGGAAGATTAAAATATTTACAGAAAAAAAAAAAGCAAAAAAAACCCATGGCATACACCGAAATCCTGTCTCCAGGGGCAGAACATGGGCCAGGGGTGGCGAAGGCCGAGGACAGAGCAGGAGGAGGGAAGCGGCGAGGGGGAAGCCTTCCTCGGGGGCCCTGGCGCGCTCTTCCTCGCTCCCCAAGTCTCTCCTGTCCCGGCACGAAGTCTCAGCGGGAGAAAAGTCCTTCGGCAGGATAAAGGGGCTGGGTGACCCTTCTGGAACTGCAACAGCAGTTCTTAAAATTTTGGTTTCATTCCTCCAGCAACTAAAGACATCACAGTGGATTATCAAAGCACACGCGTGTTTTCTTGCAAAGAAAAAAGTATTTACAACCAGCCCATTTTTGCCTCTGCCAGCAGCAAATGCCTGACGGCCCCTACAGCTTCACAACTCATCGTGGGAAGAGACTAAAGTTCTTCAAAACCTTAAGAAAATAATTCAAAATAGGTATCTGCTAGGGAAAAGGATCGCTGGTGGCAGGGTACACAATACACCCCAGTCTCAGCTGTTTTCTGCAGGGTCACACATTCAGACTGCACACAGACACGCGAGGCAAACCAGTAACCTCCAGTCCTGCCCCCAGTGCCTACTTCTACACAGAGCTCCAGCCTCACTGGTGGGCTGGGGACCAAAAGGAGGATCCTTGGGGCATGGCCAATAAGGAGAGCAAGGTTGGTCCTGCAGCAGTACCGGGTTCCAAGAGCGCCAGCCTGGGGCAACCACCGGCCCTTGGGTCAGTGCCAACAACGGGACAAAGCCAACACGAGTCCAAACACGAGGAGCTGCCGCTTCCTGGCAGAAAACAAGTCAGCAGCTCAGGGGAGCGATTCCTGGAACCGAGAGGCACTTAAACCAAGTCTTAGCTGACCAATTTACCGCAGGCTACGAGATGAATCCCGACTGGCTGCCCCAGAATCCTACCCCTATCGGCAAAAAGCACCAAAGCTTTGGGACAGTACAACAAAACGGGCGGGGGGTATTCTGGCTGTACGGTGGAGCTGCTGCTTTTCACGGCGAGACTGCGTCGTCCCTGATAATGTGAAGTAAGGCTGCATCGACTGACCCCAACCACCACCCCTGGCAGCAGGTTTGGTCCAAAATACTAGAGAAATCATTCTGCTCCCTCCCACCCTGGCATCCTCCTTAGGTTACTCCAAAAGATTAAAGTCAAAATTATAGCATACATAAATAAAACTTGAGAGTTGACACAGTAACTCCAGGCTTTGGATATCCACTGTCCAAGACATCAGAATACCAAAGATCTGAAATGCGTCGAACGTTGAGTTTTGACACGGAGGGAGGAAGGAAGAAGCTTTAAGTTTAAGCCTTCAGAGTATCACCGAATCAGTAGATCAGTTCACAACCACCACAGTCTGTAGAGGGGAATCTCTCCATCCTGATATAAACAAGTGCTTTGTCGTCTTAATGTCGAAGGATCGCCATCAGTCGTTACCGAATGGATTCACAGGACCTTGACTCTGACCAGCAGGAAAATTTAGAACGACTGAGTGCAGATGCTGCCAAATTTCTACCAGTTCAACTGTGCTTTAGGTCTCATTGCAAAGCCTCAGCTATAAAAAGGATTAACTCCGGGTATCCAACAAAAAACAGTCTTAATTTTTTTTTTTTTTTTTTAAAAAACCTTAAATCTATGTGGTTCAGCTGTCAATCATTTCAGAAAGTTCCAGGAGGAGGTCATCCTCATCCTTCCCTGGGTCCAGGTCGATTTCTGCTTCCAGTTTGCCTCCTGAGATTTCCCAAATAAGCTTCTCAAAGTCATCTTCTACAGACAAGGGTGCTTTCCCAGTCCCTGGGGAGCTCAACCGCCGCATCTTTGTCGCTGCTTGCGAAGAAGCTGAAGTTGAGCTTGAGACCTCTGGCTGCGCCACAGAGTCCGCCTGGCTTCCGATACGCAGTTCGAGACTTAGAAGAAGAGAGAGAGCAGATCAGTGTGTGCAATTCCTTAGCCAGAGAGGTGTTTTCTGCAAACCAGCTCTTAAAACTGTAGTTAATCCCTCCTACACCTCAACCTGACATAGGGGTTAATTCTATTAATCCAGGCCTACTTTGAGCGGGTCGATTTTCCAGTTTGGGGATTTCTCCGTGAAGACAGAGCATCTGGGCATTCCCGCTAGCTGCTGGGAAATCATTGCAGATTGTTTCTCCCTCTGATTTTGGCATTATCTCCAAACGCTAATTTTTCCACAGGTGAAAAAACTCCCGTTCCATGTGAAAGACACACTGAGAAAGAAAAAGAACAAGTTGTGGTTGTTACCTGGTTTTGGGTTTTGGTGTCCCAGGTATGGTGGCCAGGCTGTCCTCTGGCAAAGCAGGAACAACAGCCTAGGAAGAAGCAAGACAGGTTTTATGATAAATGGGACAAAGACTTCTCAGTAGATTATTCCTGCCCTGCTTCTCCTCTGACACTGCTGAGCCTCAAGCAAAATACAGAACCAAGGGACACCTGAAAAAAAGTTAGTGTTCACTTGAAGTTTACTAATGACCTCGTGTCTTTTTTAAGGCCAAAATCCTTCACACCACAGAGAAATCCTAGCAGAGTATTATGTAAACACTGCCATTCATCTCCTAAAAAGCAGAAAGAGGCTACACCCCCCCTGCAGACCACTTCTGGATTTTAAAAGGGAACAGAGATAAGGAAACATTTCAGTTTTCCATGTTTTCCTCCAAGAAGAGGATAAAACTTGGGCATAAATTACCCTAGAGCCCCACTACTGCCTCAGCCTCTGTCCTTACCACGGCTGCTTTTTTAGCTGGAGGGTCCTTGGTATCCCCACCGGTGGCAGTCATCGGCTTCACAGCCGCCACGGCAGAGGGGTGACTCTCGGCTGCCTTACGCTTCAGGGCCTTCTTTGTGGGGAAGGTGGTTTTCCCATCCGAAGGCTTCAGGCACGCCTCAGATTTGGCTAGAAAAAAAAGAAAGAGAGAACCGATAAAGTCTTGCTCTGGCTCGGGAAAAACAATCAAACAGTTCTCTTAACAGGCCCATAACCCTTCCAGTGAAATCCATCTGGCCGGCACAATCCCACTGCCATTTCCCAGATTCTCAGCAGTATTTTCCACGCAGTAAACTCTGTTTACCAACACGCCATAAAAAGGAGCAACCAAGGTACAAAAAAGGAGGCAGAGTTACGTGAGAATTGTCACCTTCTGCCCTTCTTTCAAAACACAACCTAAAGCGGTTCTTTTACATACAGTCCACACGTACTTTTAGCTTTCTTTTCCAAAAGTTGAGCTGCTTGTTTCCCTGGCGATACAGCAGCATCCTTTCCCAAGCTTTCAACTCCATCGCCTCGGGATTTCACCGATATCTTCTTCGCAAGTTGAGAAGCTGACCCTGAAACCACGTTGGATTTAGGACTCCCTGATGTTGGAGTTTTACCCTTGAGTGCTTTTTCAAAAGAAGATGGCACGGCAGCTGCTTCCTTCTGAAGCTTCCCTTCTTGGCGTTCCGTTAGTTGCAGCTTCTCCCTCATTATCTCTTCAAGGCTCTTCACTTGAACTTCAGAATTAGTTGCACTCTGCCCAGAGGGCTAGAAAGAAGAAGAAGGACTAAGAGGAGAAAAATCTACAGAGATTTCATTAAGCAAGTCTGAGTGGAGTTCCTCCAGAACGGTTCCATGTGGAACACAGCACATTAACACCATTCGGATCTGACATTTTCTCCGTAACATCAATGCTTTGCTATGGAAATACCGTTTCGAAAGCCCCCAATTCCCAACACAGCAAGCTTCTTTAACAGAGCAGAAGACTCCAGCTGTAATCTCTTACATTCTTTTTAAGTCCTACAGGCTCCCCAATACAGCATTCACTGTCAGACTGATTTCCTCTAACAGAAAAGAGCTTCTGCATTGAAATATTTATCTCACGATTTTAAGATATCCTTCAAGTTGGACACATAAAGTCACCAAAATCAAAAAAAAATCCCACCATATTAATCTCACCAATTTTTATCTAGTGCTAATAGGGTTTCTCATTCACTATCAGGTATAATAAGATTAATTCAAAGCTGGAGGATTACAAAGTTGACTGGAAGTGCTATTGAAAGTGACAGGACTTAGAGCTTCACTGCAGCATTTCCCAAACGCGGAAACACAGGAACCCACTTGAATTGGGAGTGTGTAGCAAGTTAGAAGCAAAACGTTAACAAAATTTATCAAAACCTGTATGAACAGACGTAAAGGACCCACCTCTGCAGCTGCAACGGCAGCTTTGGGAGAAGGCTTGCTCAATTCCACTATCTTCTTTTCTTCTCTTCCAGGTGCTTTAAAACAAGGAGAGAGGGGAAATCATTTTGACAGCAGCAGAAACAGGGAGCTGGTTACCTCTGTTTCCCTGCTGTGTTTGTTTCCTTGTGTCTAATAACAGGACAGGTAAGCAATCCATGCAGCATTTTGAGTTCTCTTTCCGTCAGTCACAATTATCTCTTTCTAAGTTATAACATCTTAACTACGAGATCTTTAATGCTCTGTCATTTTTGACAAAAAATGGTCCTCATGTTGATACCTACTTGGCAAGCACACATACATCACTAAGGTAGACAAGACATCTGCCAAAGAAGAAGGTAAACCTGGATTCAGCACAGGGAAGATCCCGTATCACAAACAGATGGCACAAAAACCAGAAGAGAAATTAGTCTACAAGGCTCCTCAATAAATGATTTTTCCAGTGGGAAATACAGAAAACTATCAAGCAATTAACAGAAGATAATTTCATTGCATATTCTGTAACTCTCTGACTTCATAGCCTTGAACTCTTTTATCTTCTAGTACAAACAGAAGGAAAAAGCAAAGTGAATCCCGAGCAAACTGAATTAGCTTGGCAGGGGAAACAGTTCACCAGGGCAGGGACCAAATCGTCTGATTACCTGTGAGCTTTGTGATCCGTAACAATCTCCTCCCTGCCGGGGCAGGTTCAGGTTGTGCTGGTGGAGCTGGCAGCTGTTCTCCACTCTGCTGCATCCGCAGAGCTTTCTCCTGCTTGATTTCTGCCAAGGTTTTAACACGCACTTCTCCTGCTGCCTTGGCTTTACCTGCCGGCTCCGCCAGCTGCACTTTGCTGGGCACGGATGGAGCAAGCATGGTCTGCTTCTTGGGGTCAGTCTCATTTTTTGTCTTAGTCGGAAGTTCTTGCCACTTTGGCTTCTCTTCTTCCAATTGCTTGTGGTTTTTTCCAGCAAAGGCTCCTGAGAAAGTTCTGATGCGAACTGGAGGGGAAGGTCTTGCTCCCAAGCCGGGATCTTCCGTTCTACAATGCACTTCAGCCTGGGGTTTAGCCTGAGGTTCTCCTCGTCTCCGATTAGCTCTCTCAAGACGGATTTCCTCCAGCGTTTTCACATGGATCTCTCCTGCTGCCTTAGCAGCCTTCTCTGTCACTGTCAAAAAGAAAAGCATCAACGGGTAAGGAGAGTAGCTCTATTCTACTTGTGTGTAAGCACGGTGCAGCTTCGGAGCAGGAGCATAAAGCCGTGATGAAAAAGTGGGAAACATCCATACCCCTAGAGCCAGATCTCTGACAGAGGCCAGCAGGACAGCTTCAACACTTGAGCAAGAGGAATCAAGCAGGGGTTTGGGTTTTTTAAATTAACTTTTAGGACTGCATGGAAGCTCACGGAAAGAAAAAAGGGGAAGGCATATTTAATACCCAGTTCTTACCTGCGTTTGCACCAGTCTGTCCAGAGGACAATCCTAGCCTCTCCTTCAGAGACTTGGGGACTTGAACTGCAGGACAGAACAAAAAAGAGACTGCATAAACCTCAACTTTGCGTTCACATTTCAAAACGAGACAGGAGAGCGCTGGGATTCAAAGTTCCCTTGAGACCTCAACCAACACGCAAAAAGAATCGTCGGAAGGATGGTCAAACAGAAAACCTGTGCAGCAAATGCAGATGCCTGTTTTAATACCCGTACCTCTCTTTGGTGCTTTGTCAGCAGGCTCCAGAATCTCTATCTTCTTCCCCAGCCTCTCAGCAAGGTTGCGCTTTAGCGGAACAACGTTTGCACCAGCTTTGGAAAGAGAAAAAGCAATAAATACTTTACGAATGTTTACCTGGAAGAGGATTTCTGAACAGAGACAAACTTCAATTCTTTCAGGTATATTTTCTTTTATTTGCCTTTCGGTTGCTAACAAAATTTGCCGTTTCTACAGTCAATACAGATCTCTGCCAAAAATATTTTCCTCCCACGTACGGTAAACCTCCCCTTAAATATAGTCATGTTTAGATGAGGGCACACTCAAACAACAGCTCACGAAAAGCTCTCACCTGTGGAGGCTTTCCGTTTTCCCAGTCTCTCAGCAAGATTCAGTCGAACTACAGGCTCCTCCCCTAAATCAAACAAATAATCTCTTTAGTGCACAGAAACCAGTAAAAGCATCATCCTCCAAACCCATATCCCAAAAAGAGAAATAGTTCTGCGTGGGTTTTGCCTGAAAAAGGAATTTGTGCAGATCTAAAACCACCAGTTACACACCGCCTCAGATCACACTGCTGTCTACAGCTGCTCCTGCCAGCCTCTTCAATGCGTCACAAATGAGCTACTTGTATAATACAAGCAGAATTCTACTTGTGTAATATGACTCAACAGGTCTTCCCTTGCATTAGCCCCCTCTTTTCCAGTTATCACCTTACTTACAAACTGACACTTGTTTGGACATCAGTGTCTCTCTCTGCACTTAACCCAAACACTAATTCTGCCACAAGCTGCCAACACACCAGCTTGTTCACAAATCTCACCCAACTTCAGGAACCAGAAAGTCAAATTAAGCACGTTGGAGAGTCTGTAGGATACTGATAATGTACGATTAGCTGTGGCTTAATGTCAAGCTGATAAAAAACATTCTTGATCTTTTCCTGCAATACAACAAACTGAGCTCCTACAAACGCCAATTTTTTTCCAATACAGTCAGCGCCTTTAAGAACCAAAGTATGGTTTTAATTAGAAAAGGCAGCACCAGCAAACTAACATGTTTGAATTAGCTTAATTATTACTTAACTTTCGGAAGCCATGAAATGGAAACAACAGTGTTCACTATTACCTTGCTTTGAAGAAAGAGTCACAGTCCTCACTACTGTCCGGACGTTCTCCTTTTCTGGCACAGGAACAGTCCGAGATTGGAGCTGATGAACAGAAACTCCTGAAGGACCTTCTGAGCAGAGCAAGTAAAAGGTAAGTATGTTTAGGAAAAAAGCAAAACAAACAAAAACCTGAACAAAACAGAAGAACTATCCTAATGACCAAAACTGTCAAATATTCAATGACCAAACATACAAATACGAATAAGAGATGAGCAATTTCCCTCTGATTTGCCCTTGCAACCCACTCTAGGACACCAGGTGTCTGAATTTAAGAAAACAGGTACTAAGCTGAAACAGCTCAAGGCCCCCAGCTACACACAGAAGTTCGGCTTTCAGGCAGCTCTCAGCTGCAATCATCCCCCAGTTTGAACCTAACAGCGCAAAAGAAATGTACTTTTCTTTGCAAATAATGGTATTCACCAATGCACAGCCAGCTATCCAGGCAATAATATCAGAAGGATTAAAAAAACAAATAAAAAGGAAAGATGAAGGTGAAAAGAAGGCAGAAGGACAAGAAAGTAGGGGAAATTAACTCACCACCTTGTTTTTTTGTTTTTTCCTTTAGTTTCTTCAATTTGATTTCTTCAAGTGTTTTTATTCCGAAATTTAAATTGTCACCTGCAAACACAAAACGGTTCATTAAACTGAGGCTACAAGGCACGTGACAGATCCTCACACTTCTTACAGCTCAGAATCCTTCCAAAGTGTTTAAAATCAACCCTGTCAACAGGAACAAGCTCATGGAAATAACTGAATCTGTCCAGCTACTGTATGTCCCACCACAGTTTTAGAACACATTGCTTTTGAGTTACTTGTCCAGTTCTCCTCCCAGTCCACCCTACTACAGCTCTCACAATACCTTGCTTTGCATTAGCATTGCATTTCCTAGTGGAAATTATCCGCAATCCATTACGGGGCTCTGTTGCCGGTTGCTGGACAGGTGTTTTAGCTTCATCTCCTTCTTCAGAAAGCAGGTCTGAAAAGGCAAAAATAGACCTATTCAGTTTTGGAGTAGGGATCAGACAGGATTTTTCATGTTTATGTAGCTCCCACAATGACGTTTAGGTCCACAGTTCATACTCGGCTTGTTTTCTTAACTATAGACATAAAAAATTGCTTCTAGAAGGATTTTTTTAAACGGCTATACTGACGTGACAAACTCATATAACTAAGAGTTATAGTGGAAAAAAACCCCACAAAACAATCTAGACTCTTGTCTGCGGCTTTAACCACCACACAGCTCAGGTATTCTGTGATTTATACATTCACTTACAGTAGAAATGCCTTTGATAAGTAAAAAAAATGCTCACCATCATCATCCTCATCATCATCTGCAGCATTGATTACAACTGGAGGATGCGTAGGACTCGGGACATTTTCAGAGTTTTCCACTTTCATCACTCCCCTCAGCTGTGGAGAGGGATTGGACTGGACACAAAGTTTGTTTTGCTGCAGCAACATCTGAGCCATTTTCCCATCGTCTTCTGCAGACTCAGGTGGACTTGGAAGCGTAGCTAGAGGAAAACGGGAACATCTGTAATCTCATCATTTAAATCTTGGACCCCAATACTGCATTCATTGCACAGAGACAGCAGATCAACCCACCTGGCTACCGAATTTAGAGGTTCCTATTCTCCACCCATGGCTCCACTATGAACAATATCTTAACTTTCGCACACAAACCTCACCACCCTACCACCCAGAACGGACTAAAAGGGGAAAGCAAAGTGAAAGGCAAAGATCACACAAAGCACAGAGAAGCTGAGCATGAAAGTAGTTAACTAAGAGAATTGCACTTCTTTCAGCTGAGAACCTGGGACTGCAGATTTCTCCCGCGTTCACAAATGGACAATTGCTTGGTGTCTTCTCCAGTCCAGTACTCACTCAGAAGTTGTGTTCAAAACCAGTCATTTTAATACTTAAAAGAAAAAAGGACCTGAGAAACTCACTCTTGCTTGGCGGTAAGAAGAGTCCATCAACGTAACGTCCTTTCGTGTGGTGAAAAGCGCAGTTGGATTTTTGACAACCTACTGGCTGATTCTCCCAATAGCAAGGAATCTCACTGCGTTTTTTCTGCAGACAGAAATAAAAGCTTTCACCTTAGATTTGCTAAAATTTCTTGCTGAGATATACCTGAGAAATTGATTTTTCTTCCCCAACTTCCTCCCAATCCCCACCGGCATCATTCTAAAGCAAAGAAATTTATCGCGTAAGAACACATTCAGTTCTCCTCCAGCACGAAAAAACGCTTTTGGTGATTTTAGTAAGAGAATACACCTTTAAGCAAACACTCACATCGATTTCCATGTGTCTGAATCTGCAGATATTCCTGAAACAGCGACCCTCCTGCCAGAGCGTGCAGACGGTTTCATTTCCCAGAGCAGCTTCGCAGTGCCGGAAGGGACAGCTGTCTCCCTGCAACCAAAAGGAAGGCGACAAAAAGGAAAATGCATCAGTACAGCCTAAACTGTCCATGTTGTCTGGAAGCAGAATTTAACTGCTTATTAAGCAAACAGCAATCCGTATGTCTCCTCCCACTCTTTGCTCTCCCCTCTTGAAGCTAAAAAGGAAAAAGCAAACCCCAAAGCAAAAGAAACCCAAACACACCTTGTTACAAGTGGAATAGAAATAGAAGTAGCAGTCATCTCCTTTTTTAGACATAACGGACAAGTTCTGAGAAGCAGCTCAGGTTCACAGGGTTTGCTCAACAAGGTCTTCCTCCAGTCTTGGCAAGAGCTGCCTTCACTCTTGGAATGAAAGTCTTCTATTGGCTTGATCAGTGAAATCTTCTTTTGAAAAGTAACCCTAAGGAAAGATATTGAGAAGTGGGAAGTAATGAAGTAACCAGCATTTTTACAGCTGCTTTCCACTAATCAAATCAGTCTTGAAATCAGCTGGTCACAAAGACCATCACAATACGGAGCCAAACTTCTGTCAAACTGCATGGATTTTGTCAGAAATGTTCTCTTCCCTGTCCTTAGTAATAGTCACGTGCCTTAGAACCCAGAAAAAACTCCTGTGTGTGGCTGTAAGCTTGGCAAGAGAGCCACTGTGTAAAATATTGGTCAGTCACTGACTAACTGCGGGTACTAATCATTTCTATAAAATACAACTGACACATTAAACACCATTTTCCAATCACCACGAGTCTTCAGGGGCACATACCTGGACAACTTCAGCAAAGGTATCGATCTTCAAAGACTTCCAGTTAACTTCTCCTGTAGGCCGAACCAACACTGAATCCGTGAATTAATAATAAAGGGGTAGAAAGAATTTTCCTCCTCACATTGCCAAGGGAACCTCTCATCCACAATTCAAACATAGGATGTGCTTTTAAACATAACTAATGGAGGAAGCAAGTCCATTTGAATACTGTCAGACTGGAGACAGCCAGGGCTAGTCAGCTCTTCAAAAAAATGAGAACAAAAAAAAAAAGAAGAACGAAAAAACCCAGTGCATTTAAAGATGAACTTGGGATTCAAAGTGGCTGCAAAAATGAGGATCCATCTTCCACAGCCGGGCAATTTTTACTTTTTTTTTTTTTTTTTTTTTTTTTAATTTAGAATTCAGTAAGCTGCAATTTCTGGTCTTCAAGATTTCTTCACCTATTAAGAAAACACAAAAACCTTCCCCCATCTTTATTACCTTTACAGCAAAAAACCACACTTGTGTGTATAAACACACAAATATGCACATACAGACACACATGTGTTTATACACACACAGAGAGCAATAACAAAGTCAGCAAGAGCGACAGGAAAAATGAGAATTTTTGGCCATTTGCCACGTAAGACTGCATTTTAAAAAAAATAAATAAATCTCTCTGGCAAAAGTGAAAACTCTACGTCATATTCTGAAGGACAGGCCTTCAAGGCTGATGTTTTGTAACACGAGTGGTTCGGGGGCCAGCACACAAACCTGCACATGCACACGGTGGGAACAGACCCATCCTCCCAGGCTTGCACAGGGTCTGTCCTACGAGAACAACTCTGAGCCCCGATCAGACCCGTCGAGTTGCAATCGGTGACCAGCACCTCAAGGACACGGCAAGCTCTGAGAGGCAGGGAAATGCTGCTCACTTGGCAAGTGCCGTGGCTGCACGATACCACAGAATTTGGCATTAATTCCGTTTGAAATTTGTTTTCTTTTTACATCGGGAGCGAACGCCCCACGTTTGCCATCACACGCTGTTCCCTTATTCATACACCCATCATGATGTGCTGCTGCAAGATTTCAAGGTTTGAAAAGATGGCTTAGGTCCAATTCAACAGCCGACGAGTTTTTGGGGCCATCAGAGCTGAAACTGATCTTATTTAGCCACAGGATTTTTTTCCTTTTTTTTTTTTTTCATGTGAAGTCAGATATTTTCTTACTTTTTAAAGATACTAAATGCCATAAAACCTGCAACCAGACCAGATAAAAGTTGAAATTGAAGTGATTCTGACCCCTTTCCTTACAATGATGCACATTTCCGTGCCAAGTATTTCTGACTCTTTTGGACAAAACCGAATTAAACAGTCCCTACAAATTAATAATAAAAGGTTGGAACCTTTTACTCACACCAACACTAGTGAATTTTCCAGGATATTTTTTTTGGCAGGGAATTTTCCCAAATCTAAAATAAAGAAAAGAAAAGTTGGGTTTTCGTATTAGTTATTGGTTTTGATTGCTTGACAAAGGGAATAAAAACAGAAGTTAAGTGCAGGGCTTTCTTGCCTTCTCCAGTATCAGTGGGGCTATTCTTCACTTTCGACCCTTCACACCTTCAAAACCCGACTTCGTGTCATACAGATTCCTCTAAAGAAAAATAAATCACTGGTGCTCCTTCAAGTCAAGTTTGACAAGAACCGTTTTTCCAACCGTGTTACTAAGACCACCGATGGCTAAATTAAATCTCCAGCACGATTTCTTCGATTTGCACAAGCCAGCGCCGAAACAGACGGCAATTAAGGACCTCGGCTTTGCTGAGCAGAGGCATTCAAATACAAATCAGAAGGAATTCAGGGTCTAGAAGGGCGGCATTTCTTTTCCCGAGGAAGTGAAACAGCCCTATATAATGCAACATTACTATAGCCACCACCTTGGGAGGAAAAAATTCAGGTTTAGCTCTTCTGAATGCCCAAGCAGCTCAGCATTTTGCTTGTTGCCTTCCATATTCCTAAGCAGACTTCAAGAGCTGTTTAGAATTTGAATGGATCTCGTTTAAGGAATGGGAAAAAAAAGGAAAAGTTTAAACAAACAAATAAGAAAAATAAGAAAAAAAAAACCACCTAAAGTTCTCTCCACAAAGGTCCTTTCATTTTAAAAAAAGTTTAACTCAAAAACGTTTTGTTTTTTTTTTAAATTGGTATCAGTTAACATGGCAATCCGAGTGCTGAACAGAAATGAACTGAACTAACCCCTGGAAGCCGGAATAAAAATGAGTAACTCTGGTGCACTCCGCAGGTCTCTAATGGAAGTTGATGAGAATTTTAATCACTTTTTTTTCTCCTAAACTCTGGTAAAGTTTTTGTGAAAATAAAAATCAAATAATTACAGATGCAGTACCTAAGGGTCAGGAAAGACATGCCAACGAGTGCCCTAAGCGTGAGCTTTGCTAAGGGAAGGAGAACAGCACAATAAAGCCTGTCTGGTTTGTTTTACAGGCTTGTCTTTCTCGGTACTGAAGAAACAGTCCTGCTCCCTGCTCTAACCCTGCAGCTTGCTGACCTGCCTTTGTCCTGTACTGAAGAACAAGAAAGGAACAAATCTTTTTTTTTGCACAAGAGAAGTATTATTGCTCCTACCTGTGGGTACTCTGTGGTTAGAAAGCATAAAAGATTTCTCCGGGATAATTCCTCTGGCTGCTCGGCTTTATGCCTTTAATTTTTTAAGACCTAGAACTCCGCGTTACGACGCGTAGGTGAACGACACCTCATCGCTCCGAACAACCTCTCACTTTGCACGAGAGCCTAAAGCCGAGTTGTCCAACGGTGAAGCAGACTGGTCGCAATTTCTACTCTAGATTTGTTTCAGTGAATTCAGCTGTTGAGCACTGCCTGAACACGGACAGGGGCATGTGCTGAGGCTGGGGGTTACAGTGCTCTGTACAGAGCGACGACTGCAAGGCTGCCAGCCACGAAGGCAAGGGGGAAAGCAGATGATGGTCTCAGCTTCCTTGGCCACCGAGTCACGGTCACCTTTCACTGTCATCGCCGAGAGCTCCCCCAGCTGTGAGGCACGGCTGCCCCTTGCTGGCTGAAGCAACTCTGTTTGAAGACGTGCCGCTTCAGGGACGTGAATTAGGACGTTCTTCCTTAAGATGAGAGGCAAATCAACCTGTTCCTGAAAGGGCCGAGGGGCCTGGTGTTTCTGGAACGGTCAAAGAATAACCCCAAACTGAAGCACTCATCAGCTCAGACACTGCTGCTCTGGACATCTGGGTCACAGCAAGAGGCAGGAGAAGGAATTCTTCAGAGCGACCTTTACAGCAGGGATGGAGTAAAGTGGGCAAGACAAAGTGCTCAGACCTGAGCGCACTGCTCCACTGACAATCACTTTCAAGCCTAAGATATTTCACCCATCTCCCAGACCAAGAGTGACAGTGACACCTTTGATCTGAAAGTCTTTCCATGTGCTCTGCGAAGCCAGAAGGAGGTGACGATGAGAACTGCAGTTCCTCACTGGCCTCTACCTGCAGGTCAAGAATCTTGCACCCATCAGACACCCAGGGGGACTGGAACAAGCCTGAGAACAGCCCCGTTCTCCCACCCAGGAGGACGCTGCTCCACCTTCTGCTGCTTTAAATCTGTTTAACACACAAAAGGTAGAGAGAGGTTCCCTGAGCAGCTGTTTCCTGCTTCAAGCGACCCTGTGGAAGATGGTTTGAATGCTGGAGTTGCTAAAAAATGTGACGGGGCCGTAGAAGAATGAGCAAGCAAATCTCTGGCTAACCTGTTCTCAGTGCTCCTGGGCTCAAAGTCCTGAAGGATGAATTTAAAAATCCAAGTAAAACACGGCAGCTGGCACCTAGCACTGCAGGTACTGCTTTGGCAGCACTGCCGGAAGGCGAAAAGCCAGGGATGAGGGGATTAAGGGAAAGCCACACGTCATTTAGGTAACTCGGTTCTTGTAGGACAATTTCTACTGCAGAAATTTTAGCGAGAGGGACCTGCCTGTTTTCTAAAAGGGGACTTCTGCTGGTGCAGCGCATCAAAAGACGTCCAGGGGACCGTCACTGTCAAGTAGTCCGTGCTTGGTTCAGAGTCCGTGTATCTACAGTTAAATGCGTATTTTTGGGTTGTGCTCTCTCCAAAGTCACGGAAAATGTTTCTTCTACTAAGACGTACTGTCACGTCACAGGTGGAAACGGACCATCTAGTGTCACAATCCGTATCAATTTCTAACAAGTTGGCTTTGGAAAAAAGTGTCTTCACTAATCACTTTTAGAATAGCTCTTGACTTAAGCGCATTCTCACAGCTGAGTTCCTTCCCAGTGGTAACAACTGAGAGTTGCAGGCCGCTCTCTCTCCTCTTCTAGCTGAAAAACAGGCTCACGGGCTCTGCCACACCAACGTGAGAGCTGGGAGCGTAACTGGGAGCGTAACGGCCGCTGCCAAAACCGCCCTGTGGGGAGCTGGCTGTGACCCCTGACTGTTAGCCATGGCCCAAGGGACACAGTGCTCTGCTCCGAGACATCGCCAAGC